TAAAAAAGGTGACAACGAATCTAACTAAGTATTTACATGAGAGATACTATTTTAATAAAAAAGAGATTATAAAAAGTTATTCGGTATTGTGTGAGTTGTGATTGCCCGCCTATTGTCGTCCCCGCTGGATCCCGAATCCAATACCGTGTTACGCGGTATAACAAAGTGTACGGCGTTTACCTACACAGGGATGGATTGATATTTGGCAATAAACGTTTCGACGTGGATATCGCGGACAATATAATTGTCGATGGCGTACGATACGCCGGTACACTCGGTCTTTATGAATTGATTTTCAAAAGAATGCCTGACGAACTTCTCTACACGGAAGACGATATGAACAAGTACAAGAGCATGCTGCTGGCGACGAACGCGCACAAACACAAGCATCATTCCCTGGGTCGAATATCGGGCAACAGGGGACACAAGTACAAATACATAATCGCGCCATTGATGTCGATGACACCCAAGAAACAGATTCAGAAATCTGGAAAGAGATTACCTCGCGCAATGACGCTAAACGATAACGCGATCGATTACGTGCACTGGGACGATCCCAACGAGTTGGTGGATCGTCTACGATTGCTCGACGCTTCGCACCGAGCAGGGAACAACGCTCACGGCAACGAGATGCAGTCGATCGTCGAGGAACTCTGCGAAGCCGGTCTTATTATAAATTATATCGTGTATCGATGAAACGAGAGTGACAACGGTGAGAAAAAATACATTATTTTCTTGTGTATTACACGTCGAATCATGAAAAAGAGATCCGATGAAAAGAGAAAAGTTAGCTCCGAGAGACGTCGACTCGTCGAGGAATTGCACGCTCCTGCGAGAAGAAATTTTTTCGCCAAAGCGCGTCATTGTCCGGGGATATGATGATCTGTGGCAGGCTGACATCGTCGAGATGCATCCATACTCGCGTTTCAACAGAGGCCATCACTACATACTCACCGTCATCGATGTGTTGAGCAAGTATGCGTGGGCCATACCGCTCAAGAGTAAAGGTGGAAGCGAGACGGCTGAAGCTATCGATGAGATAATTCGAAAGAGCAAGAGATGTCCAAAAAACCTACAAACCGATATGGGAAAAGAATTTTACAACGTTGATGTGAGACGGCTCTTGAAAAAACACAACATCAATCATTGTTCCACGTACTCCGTAATGAAAGCATCAGTCGTCGAACGATTCAATCGCACATTAAAAAACGACATGTGGAAGATGTTTACACTTAACGGAAACTATAAGTGGATCAATGCGCTGTCGCAGCTTGTATCAGATTATAATACGCTCAAGCATCGCACCATCGGCATGCGACCCATCGACGTTACCCCCACGATAGCTGAAAAACTCTTGGCCACAGTATATAGCAACGTAAAGATCGCGAGTCCGGCAAAATTCAAAGTAGGCGATTCGGTACGTGTGAGCAAATATAAAACCGTCTTCAAGAAAGGTTACACGCCAAATTGGACCACCGAGGTGTTTAAAATCGCTAAAGTGCATACTCATCCTGTAACCTATCTACTGGATGACTATTGCGAAAAATCTTTCTCTGGAACGTTCTATGAACATGAGTTACATCGCGCGGCTTATCCGGACGTGTATCTCGTGGAGAAAGTATTGCGCAGGAGAGGTGACGAGGTTTACGTAAAATGGTTGGGATTCGATGCATCGCACAATTCTTGGATACACAAGGATAATATAATTTAATTCATA